ATAGACTAGACTATAGACTAGACTATAGACTAGACTATAGACTAGACTATAGACTAGACTATAGACTAGACTATAGACTAGACTATAGACTAGACTATAGACTGACTATAGACTAGACTATAGACTAGACTATAGACTAGACTATAGACTAGACTATAGACTAGACTATAGACTAGACTTAGACTAGACTATAGACTAACTATAGACTAGACTATAGACTAGACTATAGACTAGACTATAGACTAGACTATAGACTAGACTATAGACTAGACTATAGACTAGACTATAGACTAGACTATAGACTAGACTATAGACTAGACATAGACTAGACTAGACTAGACTAGACTATAGACTAGACTATAGACTGACTAAGACTAGACTAGACTAGACTAGACTAGACTAGACTAGACTAGACTAGACTAGACTAGACTAGAGACTAGACTATAGACTAGACTAGACTATAGACTAGACTAGGACTAGACTATACTATAGACTAGACTATAGACTAGATTATAGACTAGACTATAGACTAGACTATAGACTAGACCATAGACTAGACTATAGACCAGACTATAGACTAGACTTGTAGATCTAGCCAATAATTAAATCAATGGATCTTTGTATAGTTATGTCTATAGTCCAGATCATTAGTCAGGCTTGCCCGCATTATGACCAAATCTATCTCGAAATATAGTCAGCAACAAATATTTAAATTATATGTTTTTCCTGGAAAATTTAACTTTTGCCAAAATGTCTATCAAATTAATGAGAGACCTCCATTAACAAAATGTTTTTAGAATACAGGCGCCTGCAATAAAATGAAATTAAAACACAAGTACCTCAAAGAAAACAACTTGTTTTCTCAGTTGTCATCAGGAAACAATTTCTTCTTAAATTTTGTAATTTTCTTGTGCATTCTTTTTTTTTTTTAAAAAAAAAAAAAGACAATAAAATATTGTATTTTAAATAAAATGTGATTAAAATTAATATCTATTTTGTTAATGTGTTATTCATCTTATTTAGTGTTTATTTAAATCCCTTTCATGTTTCAGTGACAAATTTATAACAAAACACTCCCTCCCACAATAAACAACCGAAAATAATTAAAAAATATATACACAATATAAAACAGTATTCGAACAATTTGAATATGTTTAAGAAAAAAACAACTACAAAAATTAATATACCAAAAAAAATATATATTATGGATATGCAGGTGATGCAAACAATATTTATTTTTTTCTGTTTTGTAAAAGACACAATTTTTAAAATATAAAAACAAAATTTACTTTCAAAAATGTTCTAATGTGTTTTTTTTTTTAATTCATAGCTTTAAAAACAACAAACATTTATAAATGACTTCTAATAATTTTTATTACAAATTTTATGTTGTTGATGTTTTTTTTTTTAATTAATAGTGAATCATTTTGATTTTTATATTTAATGTGTGTAAATTAATTTTGTTTAAGTTTTTAAATTTTAGGGAGATTTCTATTAATTTTAAAATAACTTTTATAATTTTTTATAAATTTTGTTCTTTATCATTTGAGTTCAAAGCCCATTTTAGTATGAATCATTTTCATTAATGAATTCTTGTATTTGTCATTTGTGCTAGAGTTAATATTAAAAGATTTTTGTCATCATATTAATTATGTGTGTTATTAATATGATTAAGTTGGATTTGCGGTGTCAAAGTTTTGAGTGAAATAGTATTTTATTAAAAAATTTTAATTTAATTTATATAAATTATCTTGATACTTATATTAAGAAAATTATATTCAAAAACTGTTTAGAAATGACTAAACTTCCGGAAGTAATAAAAAAGATTTATCTTTTATGTATAGTTTTTAAAAATTTTACTTCTAAAAAGAACCGATGGATGTCTGGTACTTTCGAAATTTCGTAAGTTTAGGGGGCGGTGAGCATGTGTACAAAACAAAGATGTTATAAGTTTTGGTATACTTTTTGGTCCTTTATTACTAATAAACATATTAGGACTTTTTTAAATATGTATATTGGACCCAGCTCTCAAACCTGTTTCGTACTTGTTTAACATTTAGTACTTAAAATGGGACAAATCTGTATTTCAGTACTTTTTTTAGCACTTTAGAGGAATTTTTCTTGTTGGATTTGGATAAAATTTGCACCATGGTTAGTACTACTTATTGGATAGTAGGCCAGTTTTGGTAGGACCAATAGGAGAAAAGTTACACTCATTTGAATAAAACCCTGTATGACCAAAATGTCCAACTTTGACCCCCTCTAAGTTCGGCAGTTCTTGACCAATAGAGCTACTGGCCAACTATCCAATAGTGCTCACGTTTGTGCACTATTCCAAATCGGAAGACATCGGTTTTAAAAGTTGGATCACTTGACACGAAATTACCCATATACATATTTACTGCCTTATTCATAAACATTTATCATAGGTTTATAGTACAAATTTTGTAAGCAAATTTGATTTCAACAAGGAGAAAAATGTATCGAAAGGAAGAATAATTGATAATTTTGTTTTATTCATCTAAAAAGAGTACATTTCAGGAGCTAACGATATACATATTTACTGCTTGCGATGTCAACAGGGAGAAAAATATACCGAAATGGGGAAAAACTGGAAATTTAGTTTAATTCATCCAAAAAGGGTTCTTTTAAGGATTGAAGGTACTGAATTACATTTCGAAGTCTTTTGAGTAGTCTACTGACTAGTCTATGGACTAATCTGTTGGTTAGTATATTAACTAGTCTATTCACTAGTCTATTAAACAGTCTATGACTTGTCTGTTAAATATACTGTTGACTTTTATATGGACTATTGATTAATCTGTTGGCTAGTCTATTGACTAGTTTTATGACTAACCTATTGACTAGTCTATTGAATAGACTTGTTTGTTAACTATACTGTTGACTTGTCTATGGACAATTGACTGGCCTATTGACTAGTCCATTGACCAGTCTATTCATTAGTATAATGACTAGTCTATTGACTAATTTATTGATTAGTGTGTTGACTAGTTTAATGCATAGTCTATTGACTTGTCCGTCAACTATACTGTTGACTAGTCTAATTACTTATTGACTAGTCTACTGACTAGTCCATTGAATAGTGTATTGACTTGTATGGTAACTATAATGTTGACTTGTCTATGGACTATTGATTAGACTGTTGACCAGTCTATTCACTAGCCTATTGTATAATGACTGGTCTATTGTCTAGTCTAATAACTAGATAATTAATTAGTTTATTGAATACTATTGATACTATTGACTTGTCTGTGATCTATACTGTTGTCTTGCCTATGGACTATTGATTAGTCTATTGAACAGTCTATTGACTAGTCTATTGAACAGTCTATTGACTAGTCTATTGACTAGCCTATTGTCTAGTCTATTGACTAGCCTATTGACTAGTCTAGCACATTGAGAAGGCTATGTACTAGCCTATTGACTGGTTTATTTACTAGCCTATTGACTATTTTATCAACTAGTCTATTGACTTGTCCGTCAACTATATTTACTATTGATTAGTCTTTTGACTAGCCTATTATATAGTTTATTGACTAGTCTTTTGACTAGTCCATTTGACTTGTCTGTTAACTCTCTATTTGTCTATGGACTATTATAAGTCTGTTGACTAGTCTATTGACTAGCCTATTGACTAGTCTATTGACTAGCCTATTGACTAGTCTATTGTCTAGCCTATTGTCTAGTCTATTGACTAGCCTATTGACTAGTCTATTGAATAGTATAATGACTAGTCTCTTGACTAGATTATTAATTAGTTTGTTGAATATTCTATTGATTTATGTGTGATTTATACTGTTGACTTGCCTATGGATTAGACTGTTGACCAGTCTATTGACTAGTTTATTTACTAGTCTATACACCAGTATATTGACTAGTCTATTGAGTTGCCCACTTTCGAGCCTATTGACTGGTTTATTTACTAGTCTATTTATACTTTTCCTCCATCAAATGGTCGTTTTTGAATTTTCTGTAATATTGACAAAAACTTTCTTTAAATTCTACTTTTGAATTTTCTATAGTGTGAAACCGTGAATCACATGAAAAAATGAGAATTTAGAAGAAGGAGATTTTTGATACTTTTTCGTTCTTCAAATTGTTGGTTGGTTGGTTAACGTGGTAGTTCACTGCACGCGAACTGTCAAGTAGAGTCGAAGAGACTCCGTTTTGATCGGACCACTCCTCTCGTCAGATGTAGTATTTATAGTATTAGATGCAGCCTGTAGCTGTGAGAAATCTGAGGATATTATTAAGCTTAGACCCAGATACATACCTCCCCAAGGCTATGAAGTAACTGCCAAGAAAGCAGTTTCTCTTTACGGCCAGATCAGGGCATTCACAGAGAAGATGGAAGACCATTTCTTCCTTTTCTCTGTCTTTGCAACTGCTACAGTGATCGTTGAAGGGGAGCCCAAGAAGAGTTGCATGTCTGCCTATCACCCAGTGTCTCTTATTACTGCTTTCAGCCTCGATATGTCCCGCCGTTCGGTTCGGTTCTTAAAATTGTATTTTAAAATTTTTCATAAAATAATTCTTTAAAATGCTTTTAGGGTGCTTTTCTATTCTAGTATTACTTTAAGAAAAATTTTAATGTAATCTAAATTTTGTATTTAATTTTGATTGGGAAAGCGCAACATCCAGAGTCCGCCTAGTATTCTCTTTTGTTAAGATTTGTTTGGTACTACTGGACCAGTAATACCCAGATTGTCTCTTAAGTGACAACTTTTAATGACCCTACTCCTTCCATTAAACCCGTCTTACAGTAAATCAATCTATTGACAATAAATCGTAAATCGTTTAGTAAGGAGAACTGAAAAGCAATTTACCAAAAAATCCGATTCTATATTAAAATATTTACAGGTGTACTTGGTGTAGGGTACTCGAATAATGAATATGAATATATAAACATTAATAACTACCACAAATCTAATAGTAATAAAAAATATTTAAAAAAAATCATAGAAAATAAATCTACTTACCGAATTAATGGTGGCCATGATGGAAGTTGATCGGATGGATTTGAAGTACAACTACAAAATTATTGATGATGATGGTTGGTTGATTGGAGTGGTGGAGATGATTTGATTTGATTTTTTTGTTTGTTTGTTTGCTAGTTGATTTATATATTGGACGATCGATGGAAATGATAATGATAAATTAAATTATTTTTATTATTTAAATAATTTATAATATTTTCATTTGTTACGTGGTGAACGTGGTGATTTGTTATATTTTTTGTTGGTGAATTGATAAAAAAATTTTCTAATATTTTTTTGGTGGTGGTTGTGGTGAACGTGGTGGTAGTGGTGGCTGAGAGGACTGACAACAACAACATAAATCAAAAAATCTGCAAATTAATAATAAAAAGAAAGAAATAAATTATAAATTAAAGTAAATTAAATAAATATTTTTTTCTTTTTGTTTTTGTTTGGTTTTTGTTTTAAATAACAATAAATTAAAAGCTTATAAATATTAAACATAAAAACTATTTATGTAAATTAGTTAAATTTTCATTTCACTTAATATGTAATTTTTAAAAATATATTTAAATTGTAGCAAAAAAAAAACACTCATTCATATTTCTTTTGTTTTAAACAATAATAACAACATTAAAATAATATACAATTTATGTTTTTTTTTTATTTTATTTAACATAAAAAGAAATATCGAAAACGATTTATGTCTATGATGAAATCTAAAAAAAAAAAAAATAAGAAAAACATACACACATAGATTTTAAAATATTTATTTGAATTTTTTTTTATTTTTAAACAATATCTAATATTTCAAAATTAAATATTACTTTTTTATACTTGTTTTCTTTTTTTGCAAATTAATAAATTCTTTAAAAAAAATATTTCGTTGTGCAAAATTTTTTGAATTTGAAATATGGTTCAACGGTCGTGCCAGTGGTGGGCGTAAGGAGTAAATTCTCATTTCTTTTTCACACTAGCAAAAGCGTCACTTTATTAGTGACGCTTTAACTTGTTTTTAAAACAACAAAATTTATAATAAATAAACTTAATTTGGTTGACGTTAAAAAGCTACTCACTCATAATTATATACAAATTTTTCTTGATCTTAAGTATAAACAGTCATTTATTTTTGAAGAAGCAGAGAGAGAAAAAAACACGTAAGAATCCTATGTATAAATATTATGTTTTAGTTGTTTATAAACAATTTGTTTAGAATAATAGCGGTGTAAATTTAGGAATGGAAAATTTTTAAATCTTAATCATTTGACGCAAATTATTAAGAGGGTTCAATATCAAATTTAGAAAGTATGAACCTATATTTTTAATATATTCGAGAATATTCCTAGAACTTGTTATCTTATCTTTAAATAAAATTAACAGCAAAATATAGCATACTTTAAGGCTTTAATAATTGTTAATCGAATTATTACAATAAATTTAAGTTTCTTCATAAAATAATTTCAAAATATAAAACAATAAAAGAAAATTTATTTTTTTATGTTTCATTTAAGTATTTAAAATTTATTTAATTTTTTTATTTAATGTGTTTCGGTTTGCCTTTCCTTTAATCAAACACTTTTAATAAATTCCCCTGACACTAAAATGATTTATTGTTCGAATTATGTTTATGAATAGTTTTAACAAATTTTCACATGATTTTTGCCCATGGCCATAAAACTGCCATCATTATGCTCACATCTGTCTATTTATAAATGCATGAGACAATGATCTATTATAAGTGCGAAATGAAATGTTAAGTAATATTTAAATTGGCAATACATTATTGGAAACAAGAGGGGAAAAAAGACCATTAACCCATGGAAAGTGTTAAGATATAAAAAAAAATCGGTTCAGAATAATATATATTAAAAATTTGCAAATTTTAGCTTAAATTCAAATTGTGAAAATCTATTTATATTTTAAGGAATTTAAATTTTATAGAGAAATTTCGAATTTTTACTGAATTTACCACTTTTTAGTGAAAGTGTAATTTTTAGAAAAATTACAAAGTAAAACTAAGATTTTCACTTCGGTTTTTTATTAAATTTTTTTGATTTTTTAATAAATTTTCGATTTTAAATTTTAGTGAATATAAGATTTTCTAGTCAAATTACGATTTTTTAGTAAAATTTTAATTTTCTAGTAAAATTACGATTTTCTAGTGAAACTTTGATTTTATAGTGAAATTTTGATTTTCTAGTGAAAATACGATTTTTCAGTGAAATTTTAGTTTTTTAGTGAATTTACGATTTCTAGAGAATGCACGATTTTCCAGTGAAATTTCGGATTTTTTAATAAAATTTAGATTTTTTAAGTGAAATTAAAATTTTTAGGCAAAATAACATTTTCTAATGAAATTTTAACTTTATAGTGAAATACGATTTTTCAGTGAAATTTCGTTTTTTTTTAAGCGAAATTAAAATTTTTAGTGAAAATAAGATTTTTTAGTGAAATACAATTTTACAAAAATACGATTTTTCAGTGAAATTTCGGTTTTTTAGTGAATTTACTATTTCTAGAAAATATACGATTTTCCAGTGAAATTTCGAATTTTTTAATAAAATTTTGATTTTTTAAGTAAAATTCAAATTGTTAGTGAAAATAAGATTTTCTAGTGAAGTTTTATTTTTCTGGTGAAATTTCGACTTTCTAGTGAAATTTTAGTTTTCTATTGAAATTACAATCTAGTGACAATACGATTTTTCAATGAAATTTCGGTTTTTTAGTGAAAATAACAATTTTCTAGAGAAAATAAGATTTTCCAGTGAAATTTCATATTTTAATAAAATTCTGATTTTTAAGTGAAATTTGAATTTTTAGTGAAATTTTAATTTTTAGTGAAATTTTAATTTTCTAGTAAAATTTTAATTTTCTAGTGAAATTTAGATTTTTTTAAATAAAATTTCTATTTTAAAGTTAATTTTGAATTTTTAGTGAAAATTAGATTTGCTAGTGATTTTCTACTATTTTTGAAAAATTTTAATTTTCTAGTGAAATTTTTAATCCTCTAGTGAAATTTGAATTTTTATTGAAAATTAGATTTTTTAGTGAATATTTACAATTTTTGAAAAATTTAAATTTTCTAGTGAAATTTTAATTTTCTGTGAAATTTTTATATTCTACTGAAATTTTCATTTTCTAATAACATTACTATAATCTAGTAAAAATACGATTTTTCAGTAAAATTTCGATTTTCTAGTAAAAAATCGTTTTCTTTTTTGAAAATACGATTTCCCAGTAAAATTTTGATTTTTACAAAATTTCGATTTTCTAATAAAAATTCTAAAAAAAACTATTTTTTAAAGAAAATTCCATTTTAAAATTTAGATTTTCCAGTGGAAATTTTGATTTTTCAGTGAAAAATCAAGTTTTTTGAAATTCAATTTTTAGCGACATTTAAATTTTCTTCTAAATTCTACTTTAAAAACAAATCAAAGGTACATTTTCAATTTGTTAACATTTTGTAAAAACCAATATTCCACCTTTTACCCCCACCCCACTACACTCCTTAAAAGGTTAACAAAACATAATTAGAAGAAGAAGAAGAAAAAAACACATTAACGTGGTTTCTTTAATGATGACATTGAATTTGAAATGTTAGAAAATAAAATACCAAAAAAAATAAAATCTTTCAACCACAAAGAAAAATGTTGTTTCTTTTTCGACTTTTTCTTTTTTTATTAATTTTGACACACACAAAAATAACACTCATACGCCGCAATGTACGGAAATTATAAAAATTTAAATTAGTGAATGTGAATGGAAAAAACATAGAAAGTGACATGTTTTAAATTAACTTAAATCTTTTTGAATATTTCTGTTTGTCATGCAAGTATTTTTAAACTAAAAAAATAATATGTTTTTTAATGTCTATATTAAAAACTAATTAACATTTGCGAAAACAACATAAATGATAAATGTTTGAGTGCACTTAAAAAAAAAAATACTTAAAAATTTTTAAACCGCAAATCACTTGTAATCAAATTTGCTTGACATTAATAGTCTTCTGTTTTTTTCATAATATTAGAATAGTAACTTTTATTATCTGTTTAAATTTCAATTAAAATTATTTTCACTATTTATTTATTAATCTCCCACATTATCCATTCTATTTTCAATATAATTACATTTAATTGTAGTTAATCAATACATATTTTTATTTTCTTTTCTCTTGTTATTTTTTGCTGCATTCAGCGTTAAATCTAAACACATGTCAAAAACTATTAAATCAGATAAATGTGTTTGTCATTTGCAACAAATTGTAAAATATTGGCACTTTATAAATCAAATGTCAAAAGAAAGCAAAAAAAAGAAGGCGAAATATTATGCAGAATTACTGTCAAACACAATAAATCAATCTTAAAGAAAACTCATCACACCAAAAAAAAAAAAACATTAAATGAAAGTAATAAAATTACATGAGTAAAAATAAATAGTGCGGAATATGCACTGAATGTGGGGAAAACATATTTAGAAGTAAAAAATTTAATTTTTTTTTTAAATAAGATGGAAATTGTAAAGAAGCGTGTGGTAAACAGAAATATGTTAGCTTCTATACCCTATACCTCTATGGGGCGGAGGGTGTTATGCGTTTCTTCTGAAGATTTTAACATCCAAAAACATTGATCATACACCCAACTTAAAGTACCAACCGGCTGAGAACTAACTAACTAACTAACTAACTAACTAACTAACTAACTAACTAACTAACTACTAACTAACTAACTAACTAACTAACTAACTAACTAACTAACTAACTAACTAACTAACTAACTAACTAACTAACTAACTAACTAACTAACTAACTAACTAACTAACTAACTAACTAACTAACTAACTAACTAACTAACTAACTAACTAACTACTAACTAACTAACTAACTAACTAACTAACTAACTAACTAACTAACTACTAACTAACTAACTAACTAACTAACTAACTAACTAACTAACTAACTAACTAACTAACTAACTAACTAACTAACTAACTAACTAACTAACTAACTAACTAACTAACTAACTAACTAACTAACTAACTAACTAACTAACTAACTAACTAACTAACTAACTAACTAACTAACTAACTAACTAACTAACTAACTAACTAACTAACTAACTAACTAACTAACTAACTAACTAACTAACTAACTAACTAACTAACTAACTAACTAACTAACTAACTAACTAACTAACTAACTAACTAACTAACTAACTAACTAACTAACTAACTAACTAACTAACTAACTAACTAACTACTAACTAACTAACTAACTAACTAACTAACTAACTAACTAACTAACTAACTAACTAACTAACTAACTAACTAACTAACTAACTAACTAACTAACTACTAACTAACTAACTAACTAACT